ATGACAAAAGGAAAAGAAGCAGTATATATACAAAAATACATGCAGAGCGAAAGAAGAATTTTGGAAAAATCTAAAATACCAAACAATAACGAAAGAAGAAGAGAGGAAAAAACCATAATAACACATTTTTCTGACTCTTGAACCTTTTGTCATTGACTCTTGAAAATGATCTAAGTTGTGATCGAAAGCTCGAGTGTTTAAATAAATTCAGAAGAATTTTATTATGATTTTCATAGCAGTATTATACTTTATATTTAAAAAAATAATAATGCTTTGTTGTAATCATTGCACATCGTGGTCGAGTGATTTGCGAATATTTTACATTACAAACGAAGCATTGTTTAAGTCCGTTAGTAAATATATGAGTTGGTATTATCCAACATCAAGAAAAATGTCACTTCCTTTGCGATAAGAAACGTCAATAATGTGTATTATCACCACAAAGGTAAAACGTAATAACAGAAAATTGGTTGCAACAACAAGAAACAGAACGACGAAGATATTTCTTAATAACATACTGATTTCGATTTAAGCCTTTCGATTTGCGACTATCTTTCAGACACAGGATTGTATTATAATAAATCGAATTTGCTCAAAATACTACTATTCAATCGCTTGTTATTGAGTAATTACAGCAAAGATTGTGTTGATTTGTATGTTAGAGGAGCAAGACAATCAGGGCTGTACGAAATTTGGCCAAGATCAGATAAGGTGAAAAATTCCGTTTTCAATATGTTTCAACTGCTGCCATGCATGTTCTTCCTGAAAACATTCTAAGAAATAGTTTATAATCAACTGGTGACATAATACAAGCAGAGGAGAAGTACTCACTGGAAGATTTGGCTTTTCCTAAGGCTATATCTGTTATCGTCTCGGTAGTTGATATAATATAGCAGGGATTATATTACGTTTGATACAATAGAGCGCATGATTAACAAAATTCTACCATATTTTATTTGATGAGGAAACTCTCAGGGATATATTCTTAAAATATTCTGATTTAGTTTCGATGGAAGCCTTATTCAACGCTACTGCCGCCCTTCGTCATAAATTAGGCCAGTTTTAGAAAATTTAAGAAATAAGCTTTTACATCTTCGAAATAGCTGTCTTATTGTTTCATTAAACTATGTCTTGTCCTTGTAGGATATTCTAACTGTCTTATTTTGTATATTTGTTTTGTTGCAATTGTATTAATATAAGAATCGATGATAAATCATCCACCACGCATGATCCGTGACCACGCAGTTAAACCTAAATTATTCGAAACATTTCCTAATTTATAGCTTTATAATTGTATGTCAAACGCGTCGTTGTCAATATATAAGCAGTGTTCTTTTCCAGTTAGAGAGGGATTATAGTGTTTTTCGTTTTCGTAATAAATTAAATACGAAGAGTCAAGTTGGAGTCGCATAATAGGAGACCTCTAATAATTCTATATTCCGAGATATTAAATATGGTTTCATATAGTCGATGATTTTATCGAGAAAGAAGTGACATATAGGAAGGAAGGCCGAAAGCCAAGGAAGAAAGTATTTTTCGTCGGTGTAGTCGAAAGAGGAATCGGCCTAAGACTGATAATTGGCCCACTTAATTTTTTGTCTAAAAATGATTCTACGACTAGTAGAAAAGTATTATCAGCCGGTTTTAAGTAATTTCGCGTACTTTTCTCGTCCCTTGTTTTTATATCGAAGAAAATCTGGAAATTTGACTTTTTCTTATTGTGTTTATTCTACAACGGAATCAGCTTATTACGGGTTTTTTTGTGTCAGTGTACGTTCAGGAAGAATGCATCGATTCAAGATGAGTGTTTTATGAATATGCCTGCGTTAAAATTTGTTTTTCAGATATACGATGACGACTAAGACTGGCAGCAGTATTGAACTTCCGAAAGTAAAAATAAAATGTCAGTTCGGTGCTTTGTTATCATCAACAGAATTTGTTATTCATGATTTAAATATTCCAAATGTACTATTGACTGATACACAACAATGGATTCTTCAAATCAAAAATGAAGAACTTCTGCTAAGTATACAAGGATCTGATCTACAATTTGTTATACCATTAAATCAAGTTCAAGAAACAATATACGTTAGTGATTTTGACCAATCAACAAATGTTGTTCTATGTTGTAATGTTTCCATTGAAGTTCAAGATAATCCAAAAGATAAAAAAGCACGGTAAACTGTAACTTTGTTGTTGTTCTTGATTAGGGCAGCACGGCTTGATGGTTATGTTGTTCGTCACGTACTTCAAAAGTACTGTGTTCGAACTTCGGCACTAGCAAAGCCATATAATAACCTTGGTCAAGTTACTTATGTCTTAGTGCCTCAATACGCCTGATAGCATACTCGCTACATTGTCACATACAGTACACCTTCTTGGGCTAGCCTTCGTGCCTGTGGTTAGTGGAGTGTGTACAGGGAGCTCAAGTAATTGGACGAATGACTCTGCTAGATACAGCGACATTACCGCGAACGACGTTACCGCGAACGACGTTACCGCGAACGACATTACCGCGAATACAAAAACGACATTACCGCGAACACAAAAAACGCCATTACCGCGAATACAGAGAACGACATTACCGCGAAGACTTGTTTGTTGGAAAAGCCGAATAAATCTTTTCGGTTTTGTATTTTGTACATCATGTTTTCAAACTTAACTGACGTTATGTGGTGACTAGTCATTATCTGATACAGCCACAGATATCTAGTTTCCCATTACGATAATATGTTTTATGTGAAAATACTTT